CAAACAGACGCTGCGGAGCCCTAAAGTCAAAAGCACCACCAGGTCAGGATCCAGCAGGAGCATCCACGCCCGGCGCATACGATAAGTCACAATTAAGACCATATCGAGGCGACAGCCTGGTTTTAGTGCCCGGATCACGGCTTTTCCCCGCCAGCCGGGCTAAACACGAGCGCTATTAACGCGGAGGCAGGAGGAGTCATTTTGCTCCGCCAGCCCCACGTGGGTCGGGGAGAGACGCGTTTGGGACGGAGCCGGCGCGGTGGCTCCTGGCCGTGTGTCATTCCTCCAAGCGTTCAGGCCAACACCCTGGTGTTGCCGTCCTATTTATGGGGATAAAGGAATTAAGACAGAAATACTTGGCGGGGCTACGCTGGGCTAAGACATCTGGGTTTTTCTCTCGGGCGTATTAGACGCCCCCACCTGCGACGGCGCAGCCCCTTCAACGCTCCCCCCGTCGGCACCAACGTGTCGACAGGGTTGTTTTATGGTTTACAGTTATTCAGACAATCGTGTGCCACGAACCAGGGGTTGGTGGGCGGTAGGAGGATGGTAAGGTCTTGTTCTCGTCGACAGCAATTACAAAACTACAGGATAAAATGGTTTTGCCAAGATAATACAAGTGTGTGACTGCAACGAAAGGCACACGTGCTTTAATATTTTAAAATTTAAATGAGAGAAGCTCAGGAAAACCTTCACTTTCACCCTAAATCTCCTTTGCATAAGCAAAAAAATATATAAATCAGACTCCACGGGGAACAGTGCCCAGGTCAATAACTGCACAAGCTTCCTACATTTTCATTAAACTGCTTTCTGCATGGAAATCCCAGGCTACTAATAATCATCTCATCCCTCTACCAGGGCTATTAGGGCTTGGCCAAATTCTTTTCTCCCTCCTGCTCCTCCCTTCCCAGCCTACCCACACACCAAGAGGGATGTCAGCACGGACACGCACTCGCCCCTCTCCCCTCTGAAGCTGCCCAACTTTGCCAGGAGTTCCCTCATCTAACTTGGAGACTTTGGCTCTGAAAAGCTCGAGAGCTTTTTTCCCCCCCCCCCCCCAGTGTTCTCTGAACCTCTCTCGCGTTTGTTCAAGAACGTCAGCCAATGACTCAGCAGAGCTGGGCTGCAAAAATCCCTCTCTCGGCAGCCGTCCCTGCCCTGTCGTGCCTTTTGGTCACTTCAGAACCAGGTCCAGCCCCTCCGTGCGAGCTGGAGAGAGCAGCGGGAGCGCGGTTCAAGTTCTGCAGGCACAGCGACCTGAGCTAAGTCTCCGAATGCAGCCCCGAGGACGGGCTTTTTTCCTCACCAAGGAGCTGCTGGGGAACGTTAAAAAAAAATTAAAAACCCTAATCCCACGAACAAGCTGCGTGCTGCAACGCTCAAGCAGTTGGCATCTTCCAACAGCACAGGCAGGAAATTCTGGGGCTCTTTTCAGCAATCTGAGCAACATCAGACACAGCGAAGGCAATGTGCACGTTCCTTGGAAATAGTGCACTTTCTGCTCATACCCTACGGCTCAACTGAAACTGGTCGTAACTGGGAGATCTCGAGGCAACTCAGCCAGGCAGCTCCAGACCCTCCCAGTAAGAGAGGCAACTGGAGAAGCATCATCCTCACGGGGCTGTTCCTTCGGAGCTATCAGCTGCTCTGCCCAGACATGGTTTAATCTGGTGAAAAGAAGCAGAGAAGAGTAAAGAGCAGCGGGCTCAGCGGCGCTTCTCAGCTCGTGGTTTCCCTCAAATCACGGTTTTCCTCCTCCTGCCTTCGCAGGACGGGACGGCTGCTTCCACATCCGACACCCGGCGCTGCTGTTTTGCTCACAAGCTGCTGCTGCTCTCTCGTATTGGTGCTTTTTTTTTGTTTTTCCGCTCTTCAGAGCTGGCAGTAAGAAAATAATCCACACCAATAACTTTATCACCTGGCAGGTGCAGGCAGAGTGAGTGTTCCCAACGGGAATTCACACACGCCTGGTGTTGCAGAGGATCAAACTGTTTCACCGCAAAGTAACTCCTTGCGGTCAGGATTTTGCCTGAACGGTTCAGCGCCGGATAATTTAGCTAAAACACGCGGAGGTTAGAGCATTTTTCAGGTTTCAACCTCTTAATCCACTCAGGGTTTTCTAGGACTCCTCACTTTCCCACTGCCGCTCTAATTAGATTAGGGTCAGGACTAAATCCGTGGATGCTGGGGGGTGGGTTTGAGGTGAGCTAGCTTAGACCCTTCTAAAATTATCGCCACCAACTTATGCCGGTGACCCACCGCTCCGGTGAAGCTCCGCTCCGGGCTTGTTTTACGCTGACGGGCTGGCCAGGAGGAGAGAAACCCCAGCCCTGCAGCCACCTCGCCCCGATGCGCGCCGTCACCTCCTCATCCCGAGCAGAACTCGAGCTCCCGAGGAATAAATCAACGGTGGAGCTTGAAGGTCAGAGAGCAAAGCCGGTGCCCGGACTGGATGTGCTGAGAAGGGGCTAGCGGGCAGCAGCGCGGAATAAAAGCCGCTTATGCCAGGAGAGAATTGAAAACTGCTTGACCTGCCCATGAACCAGCAAGAGAAAGATGAACTCCTGCAGCCCCGTCCCCTCGGCCGAGCGTCAGCTGTTCAGCGGCCCCACGTCACGCTGAGGGTCAACCTTGTTCAGGAAGCCAGCAGAGCCCACCGCAGTAAAAACAGGGCTGGGGGTTGGTGCTCAGGCAAGAAGTGGCTGGCAGGCTCGAAGGATGAGGACATCTCTTCAACGGGGGACACGGGGACCTTCCTGGGGAACCACCTGAGCCCGAGCTGACAGGGATCACGAATCCACCGAGTCGCCGAGGAGATGCTCGGGCAGCAGCGAAGGAACGAGGGCGGCCAAGGGAGCTCTGCTTTTTGCTGGTTTGGCTGGTTTTTAATCCGCGTGAAGGTGTATTTGTGTCTAAAGGTATAAGCTGCTGGAAACTCAGCAGGCGGGTGACAAAGCCGAAGCAGGTGCGGCGCTATCGGGAGGATTTGTGACCCGTCAGCTGATCTCTCTGCCCACGTGCTGCAGGACAGCTTTGTTCACCATCCTGCTCTCGGGGAAACGTGGGACAAACACTCCAACCCCGTGGGACGGAGCACGACGTGACGGCTGAATCACGGGCGGCTTCGCGGGGAGATTCCCGAGGACGCTCCTCGACACCTCCAGCCCACTCTCGCAGACCAGAGCTGCTCATTTCTGTATCTCGGAGTGTGACAAAGGCTGCCCTTCGTCCCTTTTACATCCTCCTACTCTTTTGTTTTGCTCAAGTGCAGCCTTCCACTTTGCAACCGCATCCATGAGACACCGATGCCATCTGCAGAACGAACAAACCAGAACAAGCCGTTACGCAGCAGCTCTGCCTGAACACAGGAGCCTTTGTCCAGCAGACAGTGACACTCAGTTACGGGAGATTCCTGCCAATAAACGCATCCAAGTTTCTCTTTCAAAGGCTGCACTGTCAGTCCCCGCGAATTAATTTCCAAAGTATGCCAACAGTGAATTCCAACCCTCAAAATCACTACTTATGAACCTCAACACTGATAAACTCCCGATTTCTCCCCGGTTCCACACCAGCCCGGGGGTTGCTCTGCTCTGCCGCAGGTCGGCACGATCAGCGACACCCAGACGCACAAAAGACACCAACATTTCCACGGCTCGTACCAACGACGTTCCCTGCTTGGTGCAGGATCTTCCCTCCTACTCACCACAGGTCTTCCTCCCGTGCTGTTCCTCAACCCCAGCTATCTCGCAGGGATCCAAGCGGCGCTTTACTGGTCCCACTCAGGATCATTCCACTTCCATCTAGCAGAAAGCTCATCCACACGCCAAGCAAGGTCCTGCTCCATGGGAGCCCTGTGCCCACACACCTCTTCCCCTTAAACCCTTGCAAAACCTCAATTAAACTCCCCAATCCTCCTCTCCTGACCAGTTTCCCTGCTTTCCCACGTGCCAGCGCTCTCCTCAGCCTCCCTCTGTCCTCACAGCAAGGGCAAATCCTGGTTTTGTTGCATCTGCAATACCTCTGCCTGCTCACTCCCACCAGAAAAAGAATCCCTTCCCTTCCAGAAAATCCAGAGAGACATTCTTCTCGCTCTTCAAACTCCCCTTTTGCTGAAACACATCCATACCAACGGTTCAGGGCGAGTGTTGGGTGAAGACGACTGCTGTCGCCTGCAAGAAACTGCGCAAACTCATCTGGGCTCGGGCATCCTATCGTGTCTTCCTCCATCCTGCTCCTCCCATGGGTAACTCGTCTCTTCCAGGTACCGAACGCTGATTTTAACGCAGCACGGACAACCATCCGCCTGAAAAAAACCCAACTACCCACATCACCAGCCAGGAGGGCTCCAGGAGCCACACGTCTTGCGTTTGGATGAAATAAGAGAAACTGAAGCCGTTGGGAGATACTGTGACAGAGAAGAGAGGAGGCAGAGCAGCCAAAAGAAAAGGCAGTCGGGCTTTTTCTTCTTCATTTTATTCCACAAGCGAGTTAGAAGCAGTTTCTCCTCACACGGCGCTTGCGCTGGGGACGGCAAACTTGGGAAGGGACGGGGGGTTCGATCCTGCCAACAGGACCATCCTGCCAGGGGCTGAACATCTGTCTCTTACTGACAACGAAGAGGACAAAGTCTGCTCGAGAGTAACTGGAGCAGAGGAACTCATCTTTTTAAAAAACAAACGCTTTGCAAAGAGGCAGAGCCCTGCTCTGCGCATTAGCCCACACCTGCCATTTATTTTGATGAAGGACTTTAGTCCTACAGCTCTTCTGTCTACGCAACAGGCAACCAGCAAATGGATTCAACGTTTTACAAACCAAAAACCAAGTATTTCTCAGAAACCGCTGCCGATGCAGACCTTTGATCTGCTGCTGTTTGCCTACGACTTTGTCGGCGACCCAAGTCAAGCTCACGGCTCGTGGCTGCCCCGGCAGAACCAGCTCCCGGCTGCAAATCCCAGCACACACCAGTCCCGAACCGGAGGGAGGAGCTTACCGAAGCAGCAGCTCTTTTGGAAGTTTCTTGTTGATCACAGCTTCGTCGTTGTTTGAGAACATCTGCAAAGAAAACCAAATTTAAACAGTTTAGCCGTACGTCTGCATTAAGGAAGCAAAACCTGCTTTGCCCCAGGAAAGAAGTCGCTGGTTAACGAGGTCATTTCGGGAGAGACGTTCAGCCCAGTCAATTCTCAGAAGAGAAAACTTGCTTTTCTTTTTTGCGCTCTAGCTTTTAAACTCTTTCATCGGACCACGGCTGGGTAGAACACCACAACCCAGGTAGTTTAAAAAACTGGTTTCCCCAACAGCAAAGGGTACGGAGCCTCACGAAAAGGTGTGACTGCACAAAAAGGTTGGGACCAGCTGAAATGACCTCCCCAGCTGCCCGAGTGAAACCTCTCTTTCGAAACGAGTTCTAAGAAAAACAGGCAGCAAAGCCTCAAGTGCTTCTGCAGAAGTTTCTACACATATTTACAAGAGCTGGTGTTGCCTTGCCATGGGGAAAACGCAAACGAGCCCCACACGTCAGCGGGAGGAACAATTCAAGGGATCTGTGAACCGCCGCAGCTGCGCGGGGATGCCCCGGCCCGTTCAGAAGCGTATTTCCAACACTTCCAGAGGGAAAGCAGGGAACAAGGAGAAGGAGCTTTAATTTCATTATTAAAGTTTCCCTTTAATCTCCCGGGATATCCAAGAGCTGATCTTCCCGAGCTGCACACCTGGCAAAAGCCGCGGCTGAAATTACAGCCTGAAAAAGCCGATTCTGATGGGCTGCTCCAGTGATCCCAATCGATTGAGCTGCATGCACGCACAACAAATCAAGCCAGCATCAGCTGGGTCGCTTAAGTGGCAGAGGATCAGATTAAGAGTTAAAAAAGGAAAGTAAGATCTTGGTGGCTTAGGAAGCTGTTCAGCAAGCCTTACGGCCCAGCAACAGCTTCTCCACAGGAGCAAATATTCTGCACCTGAGCATCAACCCAGCCCCGTCACCCAGCAAAGAAAAAACCACAGGTCGTGTCAGTGGTTACGTGCTGCCTCTAAGGAGGTTTTTAACACACTCCAACCAGCTGGCAGCAGAATAACGCCGCCGTTGCACGTGAACACTAACCCCAACGCTTTTTGAGCCCGTAAAACCCGCGCTTCTACACCACAGTTTGCTTCTTGATCATCTCAAGACACCGAAGCGGGACGTGAACTCTCCAGCGTTCTTTCCCAAAACGTCACGCAGAAGAAAAATGTTGTTTCCCCCCTCCCCGGGCACTTTTGTCACTCCCCACCAGAAGGCATTGCCAGCCGGCAAGTCCAACAGCTCCACTCGACGGGCAGCCCCTGGGCCTGCTTTGCGGGTAATTCCAATGGAATTTGTTCCCGTTTTCCCAGGTAACAGCAACGCTGTGAAGCCTGTTCCTTCCCACACCGGGCAGAAGAGTATCTCGTCACGTCGAGGACGGCGTTTGGGCTCGGGCAGGATTGTCACCCGGCAGAGCCACCGGGGCTGGGAAGGAGCAGACACGCACGCGCCCGCCAGGGCTGGGTCAGCTCGTTAGCCAGCTTAGCTCATCAGCCGGGAAATGAAGGGAATTCTGGAGAAAGCGCTACCGAAGGAGAAACACTGAGGAATTATCCATGGGAAAACGAGACTGTGGTTTTTCTTCCGCCAGTCACAGGCACAACAGGCAGATCTCACCTCTTTCCCGTTATTGTTCAGACCCGAATTTCACATCTGAAGCACCCGCCACATTGAAAAAAAAAGGCGGGGGGGAGATAAATTAAAAGGAGCAAATCAGACAGCAGTAGGAGACTTCCACAAAGGAACCAGACTAGAAGAGAACAGGCAAGGGGCAGGAAGTATTAAAATAGAGACTCCCGAAGCAGCCAGCCAGCTTTTTCTGTCTCATCTGTGCTGGCAACAAAGCTCTGTCTGAATTCAGTTTTCACCGTGAGAACACGGGCAGCAGTCCCTGCCGGCTGCGAGCATGGAGGACGCTCGGATAACTCTGTGCTCAACGTGGGAACTTCTTGGCTTCTGCTCAGTAGAAAAAGCTTACGGCGACTCCAGAGCAAATCAAACCCCCAGGCTGGGTTTTTAGGGGTTGGTTGTTTTGTTTATTTTTTGAGCAGTGCGACGCTAAGGGAAGGCTTTTGTCACTAAAGAAGTCCTTGGAGTTAAACGTGACAGGGCCAGGCAGGATGTGCTCGGCGGGAGAGCCTCGGTGCTGGAATTCCCCCGGCTGGAAGGCTGAGCAGTGCCAGGGTGCAGCACCACAACTGTTTTCTCTTCCTGCAAAACCTGGTGCTCCGATGGCCGAGTGAAAACAGGCTGGAGTTGGGACACGTTGCTAAGTCACAGCGACACAGACAGCTGGTGACACACACCTGTGCACACTCTGCCCTTCTGGCAAGTCCATACAAGAATCCAACTAGTCTGAAAAAAGACTATCCTAGATTTCCGGGCTTTTCTACTTCTAGGGATAAAACCCAAATGAACTAAGTTTGCTTTTCCCAACATCTCGTTCAGCATCCTCTGATATTATTCAGCAGAATACGATATTCTTGAGAGGATATAGAAAACCATTATCTCCCGTCTATGGAATCTTCCACGAAGCCCCAGGTTTGCTGCTGGGTGAAGCTGCATCCCTTACACAGAAGAAACAGAAAGGGGGAGAGGATGAAATTGCCCTTTCCCACCCCTGGAGGCGAGGGCAGAGCAGCAGCACGCTGCCCCGTTTCATAGAATCCCAGAACAACTCAGGTTGGAAAAGCCCCTTGGGATCATCAAGTCCAACCATTGACCCTACACTACAAGGTCACCCCTAAACCACATCACCCAACACCCCATCTAAACGACACTTGAACACATCCAGGGATGGTGACTCAACCCCCTCCCCAGGCAGTCTGTTCAGGGTCTGACCACTCTTTTGAAGAATTTCTTCCTAATGACCAGCCTAAACTTGCCCTGTTGCAACTTGCAACCATTCCCCCGGTTCTGTCCCTAAATACCTGTGAGAAGAGACCAGCACCAACCTCTCTACAATGTCCTTTCCAGTAATTGTAGAGCATGATGAGATCCCCCCTCAGCCTCCTCTTCGTGAAACCTTTCCTAGCTAGGTGGGATAAATCCAGAACACACACCGTGGAAGCAGGCATTAAACTTCTAGATTTGTATTAAAGTAGTATAAGGGTGCTACGAGGCAAAAGATGCGCTGCCAAAACACCGGGGCTGGGAGGGCTGCATTTCCCAGCCATTTCACTAAAAATCCCTTCCTGGTCTTCAGAGCTACACTCGTTTGAGAAGCGATGGACAGAAGCCATGGAAAGGCACCACGGCCACAGGCCCACGCCCAAACCACCTCACACAAGGTGCAATCCCCTCCGTGCTTCAGCAACACCTCCCTCGCCTTTCAGCATAGCAAGAGTTTCGCAAACTGACTGGATTCACCTGGTCCCGCGGGCGCCTCACGGATTTCTCTTTGCCAACAGGGCAAGGGACAGGAGCTGCAATTCAAGGACAGGAGCTGCAACTCAGGGACAGGAGCAGCCACCCAGGGACAGGAGC